CCCCCACGGGAAGCCCGGAAGGCAGTGGGCGCCACGCGTGTGCGGCGGGAGGAGGAGGGGATTTGGGGACAGCGGTGGGCAGGGTTCCGGTCACCTCGGGAGCAGCCACAGAGCTCCTACTCAGTCCTCTCCCACTCCCCAGGCCTCTGGCACTCTGAGTTCCCGTCTTCTGGCCAGGCTGGCAGCCCTCCTGCCTTCCGCCCCCACGGGAAGCCCGGAAGGCAGTGGGCGCCACGCGTGTGCGGCGGGAGGAGGAGGGGATTTGGGGACAGCGGTGGGCAGGGTTCCGGTCACCTCGGGAGCAGCCACAGAGCTCCTACTCAGTCCTCTCCCACTCCCCAGGCCTCTGGCACTCTGAGTTCCCGTCTTCTGGCCAGGCTGGCAGCCCTCCTGCCTTCCGCCCCTCCCTTCCAGTAGGAACCGATGTGTGGGACTTAAACCTAGCTGGCCTGTTTAGCCTGCCCGATGCCCTCCCCTTCCCCCATAAGGGGATCAGGCCCAGGCCCTCCTGCCCTGAGGCGTATTCTTGCCTCTGGGGTCTTTCTCCCCCTGGAGTTTTAGATTCTTGGAGACAGGGCATTTGATGGTCTTTCTGTGTCTGGCACACGATAGGTGCTTTCAGTTAATTATTATTTGTCGTAAATATTACTTGTTCAATATTTGTAGAAGTGAAGACCCCAGGACACTTCACAGCCCTCATTTTGTAGACTGGAAACAGGCAGGGAGGCGCTGTCTGTCCTGAAGTTGGGGAGGACAGGGGACCGGCCTGATGGTCCCCAGCTCCTCTCCCATCTACCCACTGTCACTTCTTTGTATCCCGTCTACCTTGGCCTCTCTTGGTCTCTTGGATGGGACCAGGACAGGAGGTGGCATAGTTATAATGGCTTTAGGTGGTCACCACTAGTTGCTTGACCTTGGCTAGTGAACTTGAGTCTCCTCCTCATTAGGATGGAACAGGGATGATGTTTATCTTACACTTGTTGGAATGGTAACTATGGAAATGTTTCTGAGTCCCTGGCTCATGATAGGGGCTTAATACAAGTTGATGATGCCTTTTCTTTTTTCCCTGGAGAGCCCCTTCTTCTGTTTTCCAAAGCATGGGTCCCTTTCTGATGTGGCCTTCCTGCCTTTCTTCAGGGCATTCCTGATTCATCACTGGAAGGTTCTCACTGTAGCTCAGTCTTGCAGGACAGCATTACATGCGTGGTGTCCCTGAGACTTCCCTTTAGGTGCCTGTGTGGGGGAGCAGGTAGAGGTGGGGACCCACTCTCACACTAAAGAGGTGGGGTGAGAGCCCCTGGCTGCCTGGGCCCCCACCCCTGGGTGCCCCAGGTATCACCCTTCCCCCTGACTGTAGCTGTCCCTCCCTGCTGGGGCCTTCCAGAATGGACACCTTCCTCCCTGGCCTGGGCCTGCTGGGGCTGAGGAGCAGGCAAGGCTTGCTCTGAGGCAGCACTGTATCCTGCTGTCACCAGGACGGGGTGGGCGGAGCTGCGTCAGGGAGCTGTTGAGTGGGCCATAGGGGTGCCCCCGGGGGAGAGCTTTCCTGTCCAGGGATACCATCCCATAGGAAGTGAGTAGGTGTGTGTCTGTCTCCATCTCATCTTGAGTGGTACCTGGGAGAAAGCATTGCTTCTGGAAGAAAAACTAGCAAAGCACAAGGGCTGCCTTGATCGAGGCTTCGTTTGAAGCTGAGGCTGCTTAGAGAGTTCTGCTGGTGAGCGGGCACTGCGATACAAGAGGATCAGGATTCCTCCTGCAGGGAGCCACCACTGAGCCATCCATGCTGTGACCAGAAGCAGCACTGGGCCATGCGCCCTCAGGGAGCAGCTGGGAGGCCCTTCTGACCTGCATGTTGGTCAGGCCGCCTTTGTCTGTAGGTTGTGGACAATTGTCTGAGTTTCCTGGTGATGCTGTCAGCTGAGTGCTGCAAACCTGGTAGCTTGAAATAACACAGATTTGTTCTTTTCCAGTTAATGAGAAATGAAGTTCAAATTCAGTCTCTGGGTTAACTCCAGGCTTGCGCAGGGTGCGTCCCTTAGGAGGCTCTAAGGGGTGTGGCTGTTCCCTTCCTTTTCCAGTGCCCCCCTGCATCCCTGGCTCCACTCTGTTTCTGTTGTCACCCATCCTCCTTTCTGTCCCCTCCTGCCTGCATCTCATGAGGACCCTTGTGACCTAGGACAGTCTACTTCTCAAGGACCTGTTTATCGTATGTGCAGAGTGCCTTTTGTCCTGACAGGTAGCAGGGATAGGAGGACACCTGTGGAGGCCATTATTCAGCTGTCAGAATTGGGGAGCAGCTTCCAAGGGCCTTTGGTGGAGGGGGTTGCTCTGCTGCAGTGGGCATGGGGGACACCCCACCCTCAGTCATCCCCAGTATGAGCTCTGAGTTCCTTCTCACAATCCTGGGAGTCTCCCTGGTTTTTCTCTCACAAGCCTCTGGTGCCCAGGGAGCCCTGGGTTCAGGCCTGGGCTGCTGTGGCATTGCAGCAGGGGCCCCTGGGCTGAGTCTCCAGGAGGAGTTTGCCTTTGGTGGCTCCATGTGGGCTGCCGGTCCTCTGAACCTGAGCATGGAATTGGGTGATGCTCCTCCCATGGGATGAGGGGTGTTGAGAAAAGCTAACGGGCCTGTGTGTTGGCCATGTTCCCATGGCAATGGGCTGGCTCTCCCCCTCTGAGGGTGCACCTGGCTTGCTGGGTGCCTTTGTGGGGAGGTGGAATCCTGGGCTGAGGCCCCTGGAGGTTTTGGGGGCACCTTAGGCTGGGCAGTGTGTCCTGTCCACTGTACTCCCCTAACCTCTCAAACTTGGGGGTCTCAGACCCCTTTATTTTTTAAAAAGTTACTGAGGACCCCAAGAAATTTTAATTATGTGAATTGAAGCTGCCGATATTTACTGTATGAGAAATTAAAACTGAGAAATGTTAAAAACACAAATTAGTTAAAAAAATAACAAACTTGTTACATAGTAGCATAAAAAACTTTCTAAAAAGTGAGAGCTGTTTTCCAAAATAAAAATTGGCAAGAAGAAAGAGGGGTGGTTCTGCATTTTTGCTGAGACTTTCAAAGGCAGCGGGGTCCCCGTGTGCTCCTGTGGGTCATCTGGGGTGGTGTGCTGTGTTCTGATGGCAGCTCAGCACCCTGTGCCCATCGTCTCCCAAGGACCGTCCCTGCAGCAGGCCGGCGGTCTGCACTGCTGCAACAGTGATTGCTGAAAGATGTGCTCTGCTGTGGTGCCTCCACTGTGTTTGCACCATCGGAGCATCCTGGTTTGCTGACTGTCGCACAGCCCTTCCTTGCAGACACTGACGCGACGAGCCCCAGCTCCTGAGGGTTGCCTTTGTTCTGTCACCGCTGTCTCCTCAGAAGAGTTCTGAGTAAGCCGTCAGGCCTGCGGTGGAGACTGCGAGTGTCCCTAGTTCCTGTCTCTCTCTGCTGGCTTGTCTTCCTTGACGTGACAGGCTGTCTTCACTTACGTTGGAGAGAGTGTCTGCCCAGGACCCAGGTCTGAGGGCCCGTGGCTGCGTCTCAGCCATTCTTAGTGAAATTTGGCAGCCCCGGCACGCAGCCCCCTTGGTTGCCAGGGTCCCAGAGTTTGCCGTGACAGTGCTTTGTGTGTTTCTCGTGCTATCACACCCAGAGGTCCAGGTGTCAGAGTTGATAGTCTTCCTGATGTGATCCAGGACAGTCCCTCGCTGGTGTCCTCAGCTGTGAGTGGTGGCGAACTTGATGAAGATGCCAGCCCAGTCGCTCTGTAAGGAGCTAGTGCCCATCGTGGGTGGCTGCTTTAGGGTGACCTCTGGACCCATGCCCCTGACTCCTGCTTTTGTTCGCTCCTTTTTTTTCCCCGCAGTACTAGGGATTGAACTCAGGACCTTGTGCTTGCAAGGCAGGCAGTAGCACCCCTGAGCTAAATCCCTGGCCCTGGTTCCCTCCTCTTTTTGATGTGCACCTCCAGTAGCTACTTGCAGGGTGACCCCCAGCAACTTCAGACTGACAGCTTCTCTCCAAGCTCCGTATTTTCCTCAACAGAACCAGCAGAGGTCTGAGCTTTGTGTTGCCCTGGCTCTCACTGGGCCGTGCTACCTGAACCCCACCAAGGCATCCTCACACTAGTGCTGGGCTTAAGTTGCCACTCATCTCAGCATCCTTTTGTGTTGCCTGTTATGGCTGTGTCTAGAGGTTTCCTCAAAGCCTCATGTGGTCATAGGTGGGGCGTTCAGAGGTGGCTGGATCTAGGTGTGTGACACTGGGATTGGGTCACAGTCTGATGCTAGGATTAAGGGCAGGTAGCAGGGGACAGAAAGAGGGTCACTTGTTGCTTGCTGCTTGGTACCTGCTGTTTTCTGCCTGCCCTGCTATGGACTGTTTCTCCTCTGCAATGCCCTCTGCCATGCCACCCCACCCCCCTTGGAGCTGCTGACCATGGACAGAAACCTCTATGAACTGTGAGCTGAATAAACCTTTCCTCCTTCAAGTTTGGGTGTCGGGTATTTTGTCTCAGCAAAGAGAAAAGTAACTAAGACAGTGCCCATCCCTAAGCAAGTCATGAAGCCAGTGTAGTGCTCTGATTGGCTCACAAAAGGGAGTCAGGGTGTGTGGAGTGAAGGGGGCACATTTTCCAGGGGAGGTGGCATGGGTGTGGTCAGCCACAAGGGCTGCTGTGAGGGGGTTTGGTGGGTGTGGTTGCAGAGTGGGTTTGGGAGCTGGGGAACTTTGAGCACTGTGGCCCTGATGTCTTTTTTCTTCTGTTGGTGCAGGTGACCTGGAGGCTCAGGTGAGAACTAGGTGAGCAGAATGAGTGACTGGCACAGGATCTTTGCCCAGAATGCACTTGTCCCTCCACATCCGCAGAGAGCCCGGCAGCTTTTGAAGGAATCTAAGGCCTTTCAGTGTGTCCTGAAGTGGCTGGAAGGGCCACTAATTAAGCAGGTAATGAAATTTGCTATTCATTGTCACTTGCTCTTAGACGAGATGAGGTTTCTAGTTACCACTGATTTTTCACTTATGTACCGAGTCTCAGCACCATGCCTGTTGCCTGGGCTTGGCAGTGTCCATAGGCAGAGTGGCCCATCAGCAGGGAGAAGCAGGACTCAGCAGCTGGGTCAGCACTTCTGACCCTGGGGAAGGGTTCTTCTGCCCACAGTAGAGCACTGTGCAAATCCAGGTATCCTGACTTCCAGGGTTATGTCTGAGCCAGGTGGCTTGCAAGAGGTGGCCCTGTGCACCTCTGGGCATGGCCCGCTTTCAGCTGGAAGGTAGAGCTGTGGGGGCAGAGCTCTGGATGTCCGGGCAGCTCCATCTGTGGCTTGGGTGTCACAGCCTCCTGCACACTCAGGCCCTGCTGGCCCCGAATCATCTCTGCCCTTCAGCTTCTTGCCGCCTCCTGCAGGAAGCGCTTGTGGTTGGATGTCCTTGGGAAGCCCAGTGGCAGGAAGGACTCCTGAATCTGAGCATGTTTCTCATGGGGCATGGCTTGGCAAGACTGTCCTCTCCTGCAGCCCAGTGGAGCTGTTTGCATACCTGTGAAGTTGTGACTGTGACTAAGGCACTAACAGCCCCATTGTCCCTGTCAAAACCCTCTGATCAGGCACTGCTCATGTTTGCCATTGCGGTAGGCACCGGGAAGCTGGGCTTTCACAGCTTTACTTCTCTGCACTTTGTCGCGCGGCTTCACTACAGCCCTGGGAAGGAGGTGCCAGTGTTCTGTTCACAGGAGAGGAGCAGCGTCTAAGAGAGTGCATTCAGCTGCCTGGGGGACACGGCTCCACTGGCCCTGGGCTCACTTTCCCATTTTATTTTAGTTTTCAAAAGGTAATTCAAATAGATGAAAATTCACAGGGACACACAGGGAAAGTGGATCATCCATTGTGTCCTCAAGGTACCCAGTGCCCACTGCAGATTCAGCCAGTGTCACCTGTTTTTGTACATTTCAGAAATTCTATGCAAGTACAACAAACGATATACCTTTATGTCTATTTTTCTTTTTAAAAAGTAAATGAAAGCTTGCTATATTTTTTGTACCCTGCTTTTAAAAAAGATATTGTTAGCAATGTATTTTATAGGTTGTTGGTGTTATTACATGAAGGAATTTCCTCTTCTTTCCTGATATGGATGGACTATCACTTATTTAGCTAAGCCATTTGAGTTAGCTTCCCATCACTGTGACAAAATACCTGAGAAAAACGAGTTAAAGCAGGAAAGGTGTATTTTGGCTCATGGTTTCAGTGGTTTCAGTCCATGGTCAGCTGGTTCCATTGTTCAGGCCTGTGTCAGGGTGGAAACATCATGGAGGAAGGGCGTGGTGAAGAGCTGCTCACCTCCTGGTAGCCAGGAAGGAGTGAGCAGGAAGAGAGCCGGAGAGAGAGAAAGGGGCTGGGCCGAGAGTAACCCTTTCAGGCCACGTCCCCAGCAACCACTTCCTGTAGGCAGGCTCCACCTCCTAACAGCACATTGGGCTACAAGCTCAACCGTGGATTGACCTATCTGGGAGTTAGCGCCCTATGATCTGATCTCCTTCTCTGAGGTTCGCCCCTGGCCATAGGATGCTTTGGGGAGATGTTTTTGATTCAAATCACAGCATCCTTACTGGTGAACATTAGACTTCTCTAGCCGTTTTCTGTTATAAATACTCTGAAAAGCCCGTTACCTCTTTTTAAAAATACCTGTAGGATTTCTACAAGTGGAATTTCTTATTCAAAATTGTTACAGCTTGCCATTTAAGAGCATGTTGCATGTTATTTATGAAAAGTATGCTTTGGAAAAGGGTACAGATGAGGTGGAAGTAAGAGATGGAAGAAAGCAGCATGGCCTTCTTCACGACAGCCTGCCTTGCTTTCTCCGGGGTGTCTTTCATCTCGCCTTTTCCTCTTTACTTGGCTGGAGCTTGCTCTGCAGAGCCAGTTTCTCTTTCACGTTACTTTTGCAAATAAACTGCCACTGGTTTTTGCTCATTTTGTTTACTTCTTTGTTTGAGAGGGGAAGAACTCGGGGGACAAAAAAGAAATGGAATAATGACTATGTGAGTATGAACTGTAAAGATGTTGTGACTGTGCCGGTGCCTGAAAAAGTAGATTTCAAGGTGAAAGGCAGGACTAGAGATCAAGGGGCATTTTTTTTCTTTTGATTTATTCCTTTGGGGGTAGGTTGGGGAGGGAACTGGGGCTTGCGCCGTGTCAGTGATCTATACCACCTCCCCCTTAGGTAGCATCTCATCAGCTCACGGTTAGCAGGAGCATGCAGTGGTCCCTGTACCTGTGCACCCGAGATGACCCCCCCGCCACCGCCTGCAAGAGCTTCTCAGAGGACTCAAGGCTGGGACTCATCTCGGGAGTAGACACAGGGGGCGGGATCAGCAAGGGGAGCAGGCACACACTCTGAGGATCCTTACCCCGAGGCAGCACACGGTGCAGATGAAGCCCCAGCAGTGAGTCAGGACGTTACCTAGTGCATACTCACAGGCCATACTCCCAGAAGCAAAGCAGGCATTGGGCACGAACCAGTGCCTCGGCAGCCTGGGCAAAGTGAGCCATTCTCACGGTTAGCAGAAGCAACCCTCGGGTCTCAGATGCCAGCCCAGGCCAACCCCGTGAGCAGAGCTCCTGAGCAGGGCAGGCAGGACTTTATCAGCTCTGTGCTGAGCTGCTGAAGCTGGGAGCAGAACTGGGTAGAGGTGAAGGGACCTGCATATTACATTCAGTCATGGCTGGAGACCCCTCCTCTCCTCTCTCACACGAATCGGTAGAACATACAAATACACAACTTTGAAAGACCAGCATTGTCAACCATGTTCACATCTCTTAAATATCACCCCCAGTGAACATAGGTGCACGTTCTTCTCAACTAGGCAAAGAGCACTCAGTAGGAGAGACCGTGTGCTGGGCTACGGAGGTGTCTCGACAGTTAAAAGTGTTGAAATTACAGAGGACATTCACTGATACTGTGGTATTAAACTAGAAATCAGCAGTAAGATCCGCAAACAGACTTAGAGAATGGTAGGACATTGACCCACTGCCAAAAAACCCTTTCAGCCAAGAGGAATTCATAGAGAAATTTGAAAATAATTTGAACTGAGTAATGGAAGAAAATATAAAAATTAATGAGATATAGATAATGGCAACCCTTTGGTGGAAATGTGTAGCTTTATATAACTATATTAGAAAAGAAGAAAAGAAGGAAAGAAGGGCCAAGGATGAAGCTCAGTGGCACTGTGCCTGCCTTCCAAGTTCAAGGTCCTGAGTTCAATCTCCGGTACTAGGGAGGGGAAGAAAACAAAAAGAAGAAAGGTGTAAAATCAGTGATTCCTCAAGAACTTAGACAAAAGAACAAATTAAACAGAAAACAAAATAATAAATGGGCAGAAATCATTAATAGAGAATTTTAGCAAAGGAATTAGAAGTTGGTTCTTTGGAATGAGCAATAAAATTGATAACCCTCTAGCAAGACTGGTTAAGAGAGAGAGGGAGAAAGGCAGAGTTTTGTAGCAGACATCCCTGCCCAGCACTAGTGGGCTACGAGTGGCTCATGCTTCTTGCCTCCCTAGTTTGGCTGTACTATTTTATATCAGGAGTCAGACCGAAGCCCTTGTGACTGAAATGGTCGTGTCAGCTGGCAGAGTCCGGCTAGTGTTGCTGCTTGTCTAATGGCTGTCACTGAGGCCCAAGTCCTGGTCTGTGAAGGGGCAGGGCTCTGCTGAGTTATGTGCAGCTGAGGTCAGCGTGACCCCAATTAAAATCCTTTCCCCTGAATTACGGCTTCTCGGTTGGTTGCTAATTGTACCCAGTCCCAGTACCAGTTTGTTTTATCAGGCAGGATAAGCAGTGCTTATTCCCTGACAGCCCTGCCTTGTGTCATGGTGCTGGGTGTTCGGCAGTATTTTGCTGGATGCCTTGAAAGCATATCTGCCTTCCTATTCCTTCCCATGACTGTGTTCAATAAATACTGGATGCATTTGGGGGCCTTTGTCTTTGTTGCCTAGAGCAGCACTGATCAGATCCCAAGACCCAGCTTCGCTCTAAGTCTAGTTTCCTATCTTTTAATTCCCCTTGTGCAGTGGTGGCTCACAGGAGGCCAGAACCCACAGCAGAGGTTCTGGTCATGTCCCCTTCCCTGTTCACCTATAGATTTCCAATATTATGAATGGATAAAGAAACATGACATATCTGGCAGACATTAAAAATGTGAAGTTGAATTTCATCAAATATTAAAGGAAGAAATAATTACCTATAAATCTCCTGGGGAACAGGACGGAATGCTTCCTGACTCATAGTCAAGGGCATAGTGACTCTCTTGCCCAAGCTGGTTAAGGGTACTAGAGAAAAGTACAGACAGCTGTCTACTGCTCAACAGGAATGAAGAAATCCTTAAAGTGTTATGATAGCACATCAGCATGTATTTAAAGGATGGTGGATCATTGGTGTTCACGGAGAAATGCAAGGTAGATTCTACAGTCAAAATGCAACATTCAAGGCAGTTGGATGGAAGTAGATGTTAGCAGAGAAAATCGAAGTTAGATCATCTTACAAGTTCCCACAGAATTAGTTGCTCTGAGTATCGATGGCTTTGATGCTGACAGACTCCGCTGAGAGGGGCTGTGCCAAGGATGTCCCAGGCTCCTTTTGAGCTCAGGTACTTTATTGAGTATTTTAATGTGTTTTTCCTCCCGTGGTTTAATTTTTCCATGGACACTGATATTCCTTCTTCAGGGTGACTGTTTCAATTCAGTTGGGTATTTGTTGGGCACCTGTTTTGTTTGGAAGTGGGAGACACTGGGGGTCTGCCCCAGGTCCTGTCCCCATGGAGCTCTCAGCCAGGTGAGGAGACAGACATGGAAACTCACCTCCCTGGGCGTGGGTCGGAGCCACACGGAGGTAGGTGGAGGGGTGGAGAGGGTCTGGTGTTCTGGGACAGAGTCCAAGCCCATGTTACTGGTCCCACCTGAGGCTGACCTGCCTGGGCTGACCTTCCAAGAGGGAGGTGAGATAAAGGGTAGAAGGAGAGGGAGAGGAGCAGCGAGGAGGTGCAGGAACTGAGGACCTGGCTGGGAGGCCTGGCCCGGGCCCTGTAGATGGAGCAGAGGACAGCATTCCAGGCCCAAGTCACAGCTCACATGCTCACTGGGGCTACAGACAGGCAGCGTGTAAAAGCTGGGCAATTGACACGCACATGTAATCCCAGCACTTAGTGAGGCTGAGGCAGGAGGATCACAAACCCAGCCTGGGCAGCTTAGTAAGACCTCTCCAAAGGTGGGAGGTAGCTCCATCCAAAGGCCCTGGGTTCAGGCCTCAGTAACACACACACACAGACACAAAGACACACACTGTTGTCACAGGCAGGTCATTCACTGTTTCTCCTCTCAGGGAGACTCCAATGCCAGAGCATTGACAGTGCGGGAAAACCAGAAAATGCAGTTCCCACAGCTAGAAATGGTACACTTTTCTCGGTCCCTGTGCACCTGTGCCTGCCCCAGGGCCCTGGATCCTGCTGCTCTCCACCTGTTCCCTTGCCCGTGTACCCTGGGCCTTGTGCTCTCAGATTTTGTCCTCTTGACAGCACCTTCCCGACCCCATCTCTCTCCTGTCCTGGCCGTTCTTCATGTGAACCCTGCAGGGGCAGGGCCTGTCTCCCTGGATCCCTTGCCAATCCCAGTGCCTGGCACAGAATGGGCATTTCCTAAATGTTTGTTAAATGAGAACAGAAGAAGGGAGACTTCATTTCAGGTGAGGTGACACCTGTGCCATTGCTGGGCGTAACCAGCAACAAAAGACCTGGAGGCTCAGATGGCAACTTGCTGTAAATAGTAAACAGCAACACTGGGAGAAAAGCCATGTTCACAGTTGCTTTGTCCTGCGTTTGTAGCCCTGACTTCTCAGACCTCCAAGATCTGCTTTTCCTTTGCTAATGTTACCCCAAAATAATCCAGGCAAGTTGAGGACTTAAGTTTCTGGTTATAGGAAGGACTCATTTAGGTGCAAATGATGAAAAAACAAAAGCCCACAGTGGCTTCTGATGCTACATGTGGTTAACTCACGGAGAGAGCTTTAGGTGTGATTTGATCCAGGGTCTCTTGTGACCTTACCTGGATTTCTTTACCTCCTGCCTCTGCCTGGTGTCAGAGTGGCCGCCGGAGCCGCAAGACTTCATCCTGGCAGGCGTATCCCTCCCCACCAACCTGGCTCCTTGTGTCTCATCGGCCCTGGGTATGTGAGAAGCCTGTGTCTGTCCCAGAGGACTTCAGTGCTCTGATTGCCAGGGCAGGGCTGAGCACATGACTTGTGACCTCACCAAGACCAGGGGAGATTTAGCGGCTGACAGCTGCAGATTCGGACGATGCCTGAGGGCCCAGGTGTCTGGCCCATGACCGCGCATGCTTCCTGCTCTTTCTGCTGTCTCCTAGGGTGCCCTGGAGGTGCTGCTGGAGGTCGAGTGCCACCTGCGAGTGTCTCTCTTTGATGTCACCTACCGACACTTCTTTGGGAGGACATGGAAAACCACGGTGAAGCCCACCAAGCAGCTCTCGAGGCAGCCACCCAGGATTGCCTTTGGGGAGGTGGGGCCTGGAGCAGGGTGGGCTGGGGTGGGGTGGGTGTGCAGGGTCCTGGGCTGGGGAGCCTCGTGGGGCCGCGGGGCCAGTCCCAAAGCCTGGCGTAGATGTGCACTATATTAGAAGCCACTGTCCTGAGCAGGTGGCATGCCTATGGTGGGAGGGGACACAGGGTCCCTCACCGCTAGGAGCCTGGATGTCTCAGGACAAAGTTGAGGAAAGTGTCCATCTCATTTTCTGCCACTGCTTCCTCCCTTTCCAGTTAGTCTTCTTTTCTCCTCCCTCCCTTGTCTCTCTCTTCCTTTCTCTGATGGTCAGTTGAGACAGCAAAGGGTCCCACCGGGTGGACAGTGGCTGAGTGGGGGCCCAGACCTGCCTGCCTCCAGACCGAGCAGTGGCGTGGGCACTGTTTGAGCCCCGTGTCCCCTTGGTGGCTCTGCAGTTGCCACCCTGCATGCTCCACCTCCCGCAGCTGCCCCAGTGCCCAGGCCTGCAGCCAGCGCCCACTGCGGGCCCCTGTGGAGCCAGGGCGGGAAGGGTGTGCCTCTGTCTGGCTCACATCTGTCACATGGTGGGTGACTGCGGCTGTGCTGAGCCTCATGGGCCCAGGACAGCAACCTCTCTGAGGACCGGGACCTGCAGGACACAAGAGAAGTGGACTCTGGGGTGAGCAGGGATGAGGGAGGATGCCCAGCAGGGCAGGGTGTCTGGAAGGGAGGGCCCGGGAATGGCACGGCAGCGGGCAATGTTGAAGAGGCCTTTTGCATGCTGCTGGCTGCTGGTTTGCACTTTTTATTTTGTAGATTGCAAAGGGGTCTCACTGTGTAGTTCATGCTGGCCTTGAACTCACTGTGTGTATAGCCCACAGTGGCTTTGAACTCACAGCAATCCTCTTGCCTCAGCCTCCTGAGGGCTGGAATCAAAGATGTGCGCCACCACGCCTGGCTTCTGGTTTGCACCTGAACTTGAATGGGGAGAGTAAAAGGATTTGGTCCCTGCAGGGGACAGCCTCGGGGATCCAGAGACCTGGCTCTTCTGGGGTTTTTTAGGGGTACAGAGCAAGGCTAGGGAACCCTGGTGTCATGGGGTATGGTGGTAGTGACCAGGCGGACTTCTCATCCACGCCTCCCAGCCGCCTCATCTGGCCTGGGTGGCGCCGTGCCTCGGGCTGGCAGTGAATATGCTGCTTGCCCTGCTCAGCTGTCACCCAGCCAAGCAGCATGTGTGCCTCGGTGTGGACCACACCTGAGGTTGTCAGAGTTAATCCTGCTGGTGGCCCCAGAGATCAGAAGAGTGAACAGAGCCTGGGCACAAAGTGCTTGTCGCCCCCTACAGGCCTCCCTGGCTAGTATGTGGTGAATCACCTGGCAACTTTGATCCCTTGAGGGCTGTCCCTGCACCTCCTACACCCATGGAGCTGTGTCCTGTGTCCTTGAGCCTGAGGCTGCTGTCTGTGGCCCTTGGGCCTGGCTCTCTGGTTTTCTTTCTTGGGGAGCAGAGTGAGCCTGGGGAATGGAGTTTTCCGGACTGAGAACCAATGGCGGTGGTGACTGCAGCTGTCCCATCCTAGGGAGGGACTTGGATGGCCAGGGTTGGCTCGCAGGCCCATGCATGATGTCATCCTTGTCCTCCTCCTGTGCAGGTCACCTTTGTCCGCATTTTAAAGAGGAGAAAGTTGAGGTTCATGGGGAGAGGATCCCTCTCGCTGGTTGCAGGGCAGTGGTGGCGGGGTCAGCATTTGGACCTGTAGTGACTGCCTGCACAGCTGTGCTGTGCCTAGGGCCCCCTTGTCCTGGTTGCCTCAGGCTGAAGAACTGCCTTTGCGATTAGGGGTTCGGGGGGCATGTCCGGATGGTGCGCGTGGTCCTGGAGCCTCCCCCTTGGCTCCTCCTCCCTCCTCCCAGTTTCCTTCCTCCATTTAGAGAGCGGGTCAGACCGCCCCTGTCCCTGTCCCTGCAGCAGCTATGCTGTGCTCCCTGGGGGTGGTGCTGACCCAGGCAGCCCAACTGCAGGTCAGAAGGGGTGTCTCTGTCTCCTGATGCCTGGGTTCCAAAGCGACAATCCTTGGAGGAAACAGCCACATGGAAGAAGAGGCAGACTGCTGAGGCCATGCTGTTCTGCCCTTGTGTGCAGTCACACCCATGCCACTGAGGTCGAGCATGGCCCCAGAAGTGGAACAGCACGTCAGCTGCCCCCTGGTGGCCAGATGTCCCAGGCCTTCTGTTCTGAGACTGGGGTGCCTGTACTGGTGGCTCAGACTTCAGTATGAGCTGCAGCCCCCCTCCCCAGTTCAGCCAGGGCCGCCCCTCTTGGTGGGCAGAGTTGGGCAATGGGGAAATGTGAAGTTTCTGGGGTGCAGCAGGGTTAGCGTAGGGTGTGCAGGGTCGAGGGGCTGCCTCCATCCTGACTTGCTGGGTGCGGCCTCCCCCAGCTGCTATGCCCACGGTGAGCAGCAGAGGCCACTGACGGCCCAGGCACGGGTGCGTCCTGACAGCTCTTTGGCAGCGTCTTCCTCCCAGCTCCTTGCCGGGCCTCCTTCCGGGTTTAAGTGTGCAGAGTTCCCCTTTGCTGTGTGTGTGCAGGTGCACGTGTGGCGTACATAACTGAACATGCACACATGGTGGGAACGCGGGGCATGGGACCTCAGCAGCAGGTGTGGGGTGGTTGTGGCCCCTGGTGCTGACCTGTGGAGATGGAGAAGTGAACCCCATTCGTTGCCTTTGACGGGTAGCTCTGGGGTTTCCTGGCGTTTTCCCCGCAGTGGCTTAGTGGTCCGATTTGAGGTTGGTGAACTGATGGCAGCAGGGCCCCAGAGCCACCCAGCCTCCCTGTGGGCGCTGGCTTTACTGAGCTGTCACTGTGGACTCGGCCCTACAAGAAGGTGCTGTCTCTTTCCTGCGCAGACAGCTTTGTCCTGAACAAGTCTCTGAACCAGAAAGTCTTGCCTGAAGCTGAGGGGCATGGTTTTCTGTGGACCGTGGATTCTTTGCACTGGGCCATGGTCCCTCAAGGGCTATGCCCAGCAGCTCCCAGCACCCCCAGTGCCTCTCAACTCCGAGCTCAGAACTCTGTGTTTTCCGAGACGTTCCTGTGGGGAGGAATTGCCTTTTTCTTCTTCTGAGATAGTCAATAATTCATTTGGCCTCTGAGAAAGTGTCTTTTGAAAAATAATCCCAGAGGCCACAGCATGGTGCAATTTTTACATTTTTCTCTTTTCATTGGACAGAATTCTCCTCCCTGATTCTGTGTCCTGGTAACCACTGCCACCCTCATAGCGGTCTTGGTTTTCCCCCTATCTTTTTGGAGGAGTGTGCCTGGTTGGTACACCAGGGCTTCCCCAGATGCCCCCAGCCCCGCACAGGGCCCTTTCCCTGGTGCACACCGACCAGGTGTTTCTCAGGTGAGTGTATAATTCCCGCCCTCATCAACAAGGGACAAAGGCCACTGGGTCACTTCCTTTCCCATGACCACAGCGAGGAGGAGGCGAGTCTGGTACCGCTTTCTTTCATCAGAGTAACAGGAGTCATAGAATGTCCCATAAAGTGTGTGCTGTCTGAGGCTCTGTGTGACCTGCTGAGCCTCTTGGTCCAGTGTCTGCCGAGCCTCTTGGTCCAGTGTCTGCCCTGGTGGTGTTGAATGAACTGCCCATCGTTTGGGGGCACAGAAAGCTGGGGCTGTGAGCTCACAACAGCAGACTCTGGGATGCTTCTGGCTCTGAGTCATGACTGGGTTTGCTCACTGGCTTTTCTGAGTCATCCTGTAAGCAGGAGGAGGATTGGCTTTGTGTAAGCATTAGGTTGGATGCAGGATGCATGTGACCCAAGTCCCACGCTGTCATAGTTCCTGGTGGGGGTTCACCGGGGTTGTTAACTCTGACCCCAGAATCCCGCATCTGTGCACTCGAGGAAGCAGTGTGCATCTCACGAGGGCAGCATGATTGTGAAGTCGTGTAACTTTACATGTGGGTGAGTCCCTGTCCCTTGCCAGGCTGTGCTTAGGAGCTGGATGGGCAGGGGAGGCGACATGGGGTGTGAGCCTTTCAGCAGGTCAAAGTTCATGCTGTTCCTCTGGGTTGGGGTTCACCTTAGCCTTCAGCTGTGGAACTTGAGGCCTGTGTGTCATGGGGGAATCGTGGTCGCTGATGGGTGGTGCATGTGTGAATGCAGGGGAGGCCTTGCGGATTCCACATGCTTCTTGTCACACAGGCTCTTCAGAAGGTGCTCGCTTCATTTCCTCTTGGCTCCTCCTGGCCCGACAGGAACATGGCAGTGGGTGACCAGTCACATGGCATCAACTGGGGGTCCTGAAGACATGGAAGCAGAGCCCAGTTTTAGTCCTGCCGCTGCAGGTGCGGGCCATGGCATCCATGCTCTGGGCGATGGCAGTGCAGAGGCAGGCACATTTCCAGGACCTGTTGGCCCATCGGTGCAGTCAGGGAGGGAGCGTGTCAGTGCAGCCAAGGCGAGGTAGGGTGAACGGGGCCATCTCTTCTGTCTCAGGTGCCCTTTTCTCGCAGGTGATGGGATGGGCCTGGCTTAAACTTTTAAACACGCAACTGCAGTTGATGTGTAGAATTTTCCTTCCTAAATGAATGATGTTAGCATTAATTCATTTTCCCCAGGCTGAAGGGCCTGTTTACTGGTGTTGCAGCCCGAGAGCTGTCTGCCTTCTGCCAGAGCCCAGTTGCATGCCTGGAGGAGTGGGCTCCGGGCACAGGGATCTGGTTGACTGTGACCTTGCCGAGTGTGAGGAGAGACCCTGGGAACTTTCGCTGCTTAGGAGCTCAGAGCCACCTCATCTGTCCTTTGTAAAGTCTTTGAGCCTTGAACTTCTACAAGGCTGGATCGTACCGGCAGAGTCCTCATGAATTCCTTGGCGTGCTGCCATTCCCACCTGGAGCTGGAGTGTCCGTAAGGAGTTCTGGAGGCTCCTGGGCCTCATCGCTCAGGAGCAGTGCTGATGGGCTCTGAGCTTGAGCCGCCCTTGCGAGTGCCTTGAGTCCAGCGCAGGTTGCTCTTCTGATGAAGGCATGTTCTGCTCACATGAGCAGCGTGGGGCCTCTGTTAGTGGGTTCTTTGGTTTCAGGAGGATTGTTCTTCGTGGCAATTGAAAGGGAAAGGAAGCGGCCATAAATCCGTACCTGGGGCACGCTGAGCGGCTCATCCTGCTGTCCTCCGGCGGAGCACTTTCAAGGTGCCCTCTAAGCCGGACGATTGCTGTTGCTTCACATCGGAGTTGAAAATGTTTGTTTTATGGCAGTGCTCATGCAGGCATTGTGCGCAGGTATAAATATGGAGTTGAGGTGATGACAAACTCGCGGCCCAGCAGGGCTTTTACACAGCTGTGAGACTTGGAAACAGAAACATAACTCTCTCTCAGTCCAACCACCTGTCAACTGTAAGTGGTCATTATTTCATCATTTTGCAATAAAAGATAATAGAAAAACGATTTATATCACGTGGCTGATGTTTTAATGTGTCCCTCCGTTATCCCCGGCTGACAGTCTGTGATTACAGGAAGCACTCTCCCCGTGACACGGCGGCACTGACTCATTAACAGGAGGGTTTGTGTGTGTTTTAACCACAGCGCAGCAGCCTGGCCCGGCCCTGCCCCTCCTCGCCCTCCTGGGAGTGGTGGTGGAGTCAGCAGGCGGCTGTGCACCCCTGAACTCCTGGCCCGGCCTGGAGACCAGCTCAGTGCCATGCGTGAACTGCATGGGTCGGAAACCCAGCCAGCAGCTCCTCTTCTGTCTCCCATGCCTGCAACGTGATCAGTTTATGTTGCGGATTGGGGATGGAAAGGGTGCAGATGGAAAGTCTTAGAATCAGTTTGTAGCTGGGCATGGCAGTGCACACCTGTTGTCCTGACTACTCGGGAGGCTGAGGCAGGTGGATTTCAAGTTTGAGGCCAGCCCAGACAAGTTAGTGAGACTCTGGAGCTTAGTGGTAGAGGCTGTGACTTAGTGGTAGGTGCGTGTACATCATGCTCAAGGCCTGGGTTCAGTCTTCAGCCCCAAACCAAACAAAGAACCCCGAAGATCAATTTGCGTGTCATATGCTTAGCCTGGGCCCCCCTTTCTGTTAGTAAAAAGATGTCAAGGAGATTTTCATCATACAAGAACTGGTGTGCTCATTACTTAGCATTTATAGAAACCTAAGGAGCCTTAGTTAAGACACAGCCACACGGGCCTCATTAAACTGCAGGTTACGTGGGTTTGGGCTGTGTTGCTGAGCTGGGAGCCAGGAATGGGTGGTAGCTGTGGGGTTTGTGGCTGAGCCATGGCCTGAGCTGATCTCACTGTGGTTCTCCAGTGTTCCCTGGCCCCAGGGCAGGTGTGCAGCCAGTCCAGCCTTTCTTGTTTGTCCCAAGGGCCTGGGGTCTGCAGGTGGAAGTGGAGGTAGCGTTCCCAGTTGGCAGTGTCCTGGAGTGGAGCTGTACCATCCTGTGTCCCAGACGTTGTGGGCCCCTGGAGCAAGAGGCTCTGCCATCTCCCTGTGTTCTTCGAGGGTACCAGGTGGAGCTGGGCACCCACAGTACCGCACAAGAGGGTGGCAGGCGAGAGGCTGAGAGTCTGGGCCATTGCCGACTTCCCATGAGCTCTGGTTTCTTTTTTGTTTTGGTATTGGGGATTGAACTCGGGACCTTGCACTTGCGAGGCAGGCAGCAGAACCACTGAGCTAAAGGCCCAGCTCTTGTGAGCTCTTGTTTCTGTTTTGTAGCCCTTCTACTTTCACACATCCTTAAACCACCCGAACATCGTGGCTGTGGTCGAAGTGGTTGCTGAAGGCAAGAAGCGGGACGGGACACCCCAGGCCTTGTCCTGCGGGTTTGGAATTCTCCGGATCTTCAGCAGCAGGCCGGACGCCTCCGCCTCTCCGTCCCAGGACAGACGGTAGGTTTCGGTTTTTTTCTCTTGGCCACCTCTAAGTAAGCCGAGGAGTCATTCTTTAGGCCGGAGGAGACCTGGCTTTGCCCTGAGCGCTGGTTTTGGTGAAGGATGTGTGTGGCCCAAGTCCCATGCTGTCACTGTTCCTGCAGGGTTTGAGGTGGTTATTTAGTTCTGACTCTGGACTCGCTCATCTGTGAGCATGAGGTAACTGTGCATCCCATGAGGCTGTGTGAGTGTAATGTTGTGTTGCTTCACACACAGGCGCCAGGTGCCAGTGGGGCCCACGCAACAGCTGTGGGTGAGCCCCTGTCCCCTGCCAGGCTGTGCCTAGGAGCTGGGTGGGCGGGGACAGATGCCATGGGGAGCAAGCCTTTTTCAGCTGCTGAAAAGTCCCCATTATTCATCCAGGTTGGGTTTCTCACCCTCTCACCACTTGTGTGCAGGGCCGGGGACTCTGCCTGGGGACTGTCTTGTACCTGCCCAGTGTGACAGCCAGCCTTCTCCGGGCCAAGCCAAATGTGCCCTGGGGCAGAGCCACCCTGGTGAGACACTTCTTCCTGCTGCACAGCCGTGGCCATTCCTCAAATGGTGGTGTCTGGGGATACCTGAGAGTGGGGTGAGGTTCCCTAGCTCATGCTGTCTGGGTGCTCTGCCCTGGGCTGCAGGTATGCCAGGCGTGTTTGGCATGGCATGGAGCCCGGGCAGGGGTGGCTGGCACAATCCTCAGCCCCTCTGTCTGCTGCAGGGCCATGGCTGGCCGCGTCTGGAGGTACTCAGAGGTGTGGGTGAGATGGAGCTGGCCTTCGGTGAGCGTTGACGTGGCTCCCTGGCCCTGTCTTGCAGGTTGAAGCTGTATCACGGTACCCCCAGAGCCCTCCTGCACCCACTTCTCCAGGACCCCATAGAACGTAAGCAACGAGGTTGGCCTTGGCAGTGCCCCTTGAGTGTCCCGAGTCCCCTCCATCGTCTCAGCACCAGCCCCCCGCCAGCCCTGCGCAGTCAAGTGACTGTTTTGGACACGTATCCTGGGCTTGGGTGTTCATATGGTTTGCAGAACTGAAATGCTGATTTATGAGGGAGGGCGTGGCCCGCAGGACCCAGTGGAGCCTTTGACTGAGGAGTTGGTGTTGTCGCCAACGTGCTGGGCCTTCTCAGCTGTGCCTTCCTGATGGGGCGCTCTGTGGGCGCCCACGCTGTCCCTGCAGTGGCAGAGTGGGCCTCCTGTGGTGCCTTTATGCCTGGTACCTCGGGGCAGCCAGGGATACCAGTGTGGGGCAGCTGGAGGGTGCGTGGACACCCTGCTGCACCTGCCTGCCTAGAGGACAGGGCAGCTTGGAGGGTGGGGACAGGCTGGAAGGAAGAGGCAGAGGCCCAGACCGAGGCTGTGCTTACCCAGGGAGGGGGACCCTGTTCTTGGGGAGGTGGTGATTGTGCGTACCCCATAGGTACCTCCTCCACCCCTAATTTGGTAAAAAACTTGAGCTAGAGGAGTAATCAGAAAGTTGATTTTCTTTATAAAGATTGATGTTTGGGTTATTTTTCAACTGACTGTAATTTTGATTTGCCAAAATTTTCTCTAATGAACCCTTAGAAGCAGGGCCCGTTAAACAGGGTGTGAGGCCACCTGATCTCTGCCTGCCCTGGGTCTGGGGTGCTTTTCACTGTCCACGAGGACCCTGCCTACAGCCAGCACCCTGCCTGCCCCATTGGCGATGAGAATCTGGGTAACTGCCACGGCTTCTGGGGTTCACGGCTCTCAGGGTGTGGTGGAGTAGGAGAGGTCCAGAATGAGGTCCCTTCCACCCTGCCTCTCCAGCCACACACGGGGCCTCTCTGGGAGCTGCGTGGACCCCTCCGGGCTTTTCCCGTGGCATCTTCTCTTGCCTGTTTTTCAGTCCTGGCCTGTGGTTCTCTTTCCCTGGACACCCATTTTGCAGGATGTGTCCTGTCAGGGCCTAGGGAGCACCTTGGTCTTTTTGTGGCCGTGTGCAGTTGACACCTGTGACTGACTCTGTGTCCCCCGTGTGGACGCTCAGGTGGCCGTCAGAGCCAAGGTCGCTCTGGGCACCTGAGTCTTGGGTGTGTGGCTGGAGTGGAGGCTGTTGAGGCACTGGGTGTTTGCACTTTGGGAGGTGGTGAGGTACTCGTCAATGGAGGGAATCAAGCTCAGACAAAATTTGGCAGGAGTGTGGAGAGGGTATCTCTGTGGTCCCCTCACCCCTGGGCCCTGTAATTCTGGGGACTGCCCTTCCCTGCACCCCATTCCTTCTACCCCAGCTGCCGGTTCCCTTGCTGTAGCATTTGAAGCCTTCTGCAGGGTTCTAGTCAAGGTGAGGATTTCCCATGTGTGCCACATGTGGGGCTGTGGAGTACACCCCCACCTCCCTGTCCCCCTGTGCATATCCAGATCTTTGTGGGGCTGGGTCCTACCTCTTGTGTGTGAGAATCAGTGAGCTCGCTTCTCACTGCTGGTCCAGGACAGGGGCCCTGCAGGATGGTGCTTCTTTCCTGTGCCATCGCCTCTGGGCCTCCTGTCCTCTGTGTGGCTTGGTGCATGTGGAGCTGAGACCCAGAGAAAGGTGGCTTAGGGGCTGGGGTGCTGCCCAGCCTCCCTCTGAGTGCAGGGCCACAATGCCAGGGAAACAACACAGCCCTGAGCTGGGCCTTTGATGGGGAGATGACGTGTTGCCTTAGAAACTGTGCATGCAGGGCCAGATATGGTGGCATGTACCTGTAGTCCGAGCCTGCTTCTGAGGCTGAGGCAGGAGCATCACTTGAGTTGGGAGTTTAGAGCCAGCCTGGGGAGCATAGTGAGATCTGTCTCAAAAATGGAATAAATACATAGAAACAAAAATCAGCCAAAAAGCTGTCACTGCATGTTTCTCAGAGAAATTCTTGAGGATCGATTCCTTTCACTTTTAGGTTGAATGACAGAGCAATTCCCCATTCTTCTTAGGAAAATGAGTTTTGTCCCGGTGGTGCTTCTTGGAATGTCTGATTCTTGGCTGACTGCGTGGAAGGGGCCGTGGTCTCAGTGGTTGCCTTGGGTGTTCTTCCCCCAGAAAACAAGCACCTGACCCTCATTGAGAGCTGCAGCCTGCACTACACACTGCGGCCACACCCGGCCCTGGAGCCCGCCTTCCCTCTGCTGCCTGAGAACTTGCTGGTGTCCGGTCTGCAGCCCCTCCCCGGCCTCCTTCCTGCGCACGGCGACTCGGGTAAGGGTCCCTTTGGTCCTCTCCACTCTGCGAGTCCGGGGAGCTCAGGGTCAGGCCACTGACTCCCTGCAGCCGGGAGGGTGGCGGCAGCCTCCATTCTCTGTCCCTTCTGAGGACAGTGTCACAGCCCCAGCACCCTCATTGTCTTTCCTTGGGAAATGCCTTCGAGAAATAGCTCAAATCGCCATGACCATGGCCAGGAAACCCGAGTGGCTGGGTCTCACCCTCCCTGTGCCTGGCTTCTGGTGACTTCATCCCTGTTCCCTTTAAGGGACGTGATATGTACAGACACAAAGCTGAGCACTTTAAGCATTATATTGCACAGCCATCACCGTCCACGAAACCCCAGCTCCCTACCCCACCCTCAGCCCTGGACCCCATTCTGTGCCCGTCTCTGTGATGTGACCACTGTAGGTCCCTCATGCAAGTGGTACCATGTGGTTTTTGTCCCTCAGTGTCACATCTTCGGTGCTCAGGGTAGTAGCTGCGTCTCAGTCCGTGTGTTTTCGAGGCTGAGTATTCCGTCATGCATGTAGACCCCATTTTGTTCACCTGGTTTTCTGTTGGGAGACCCTTGAGCTGATTTGCCTTTGTCCCCCTGCCCTGTGCATAACAGTGCTGTGAATAATGATGCGCAGAAACTGGATTGTTTTGAAAACTGAAGTTCATGTGAGACTAGACCTTCAGGAGCTCGGGGTGGGATCGGGTCAGCCTGTGTTCCTGGGGGCCCCTGTGGGTATGCGCTGTGCTCTGGGCTTCTGCTGGACCGTCCTCAGGACTTGGGTGCTGTAGTTTGCATCTAACAGTTGAGTGCTTGTAGTTGGTGCGTCCTGGCCTGTGGTCCCATGGGGAGCCAGTGGGACTTTTAGGAGGCTGGGTGCAGTGGAAGTTAAATCACTGGGGCTATGCCCTTGCTGAGGACATCAGGATCTCGGCCCTTTCCTCCTCCTCTTTTTGCTTCGTGACCCCTAAGGAATGACAGACTTTCTTTGCGGTGGATAGACTGTGCCACCACTGGGCCAAAGCAGCGATTCAGGGTCTTGTGCACTGAAACCTGTGAGCCACACTGAATCTCCCCTCCTTTCAAGCTGTGCATCCCAGGTGTTTGTTGTAGCAGTGGAAAGCTGGTCAGCACATCGGGCCTTGTGCTCCTCTGGGCACCTCTGGAGGCCATTTGTGTGGCTGTCCTGAGGAAACCAGGAGAGAGGACCAGACCAACTTCTCACTGCAGAATGTGCTGGGGGATCCTGGCACTGCTGGGACCTGTTCTCTTGGGGGGCAAACTCTCTGCTCAGTCCTAGGAAGAGCTACTCTGGGACTGAATGTGGGTGGTGACATGGAGAGCACTGATGTGTGAGGGAGGGCTTGGGTCATGGAGAAACATTCAGGATCCCAGAGAAGAGAAAACAGCTCAGCTCCAGGATAAAGTGTGTTTGTGATGATGTCCCCATGAATGGTACAACATTTGGCCTTTGCTGAGATGTGGGTTTGTGTTACTCAGTTTTCCCATCACGGAGACACCTGATCCCACAATTTAAAGGAGGAGAGGTTTAGTTTGGTTCATGGTTTTGGGAGATTCAGTCCATGCTTGGGTGGTTCCAAGATGGGAGCATCATGGCAGAGGGTATAGTGGAGCAAAGGTGCTTAGTTCAGCGCAGCTGGGAGACAGAGCAGGGTGCAGGGGCACGAATGAAGGGGCCGGGGACTATACAATACCCAGGGTCCCAGCCCTGCAACCCATCCAGACACACCCAGCACTGTGCTGTACTAGTCCTCCGGGCTGCTTCCTAGCCAATCAAGTCACCAGTCTGCCTCAACTGTCACATCCCATCCCTTGTGAACTTGACACCCACACATACCTCTTTAAACTGGTCTTAATCCCCAGATAGACAGATAGAAGTTAATAATTCTGCCTAACGTGATACAGTGATTCTGCACATAACCGAAACACAATATTCCTTCCCCAAAGTCTCCACAGTACCTGCATTGCAAAAATGTCAGACTCCTCTGAGACTCAAGGCAAACTCTTAGCTCTAAACTATTGAAAAAAAAAATTAAAACCAGTTACACAATCCCCAGTTAAGTAGCACAGGGTAAGCATTCCCGTTCCAAAGGGAATAGAAAAGAATTGAAGCAAAACAGAGCTGAAACCCAGCAGGGCAAACATTAAGTCCTCTCGTTCCATAGCCAGTATCTGGGGCATGTGGCCGTGAGGGCTTATGCAGCCCCACCCCCGGGGCCTTGTCAATTGCTGCCCTCTTTCTGGGGCTGGTTTCTCTCACAGCATGCAGCTTTCCTCAGCAGACTCTTCACATTCCTGGCAGCACCAACTTCTAGGTCTCCAGAGTACCTTTGGTTTCATTCCTCTGACTTCATGCACTGCCCTCTCAGGGGCTCCTGGCCTGGCCTCCCAGGCCTTTCCTTGAAATACAAGTGGAAGCCTCCCTGACCCTTCAACTCTTGTATTCTGCATGCAGGTAGAACCAACATCATGGATAATGCCAGGGTCTGCTGCCAGCTTGCGCAGTAGCCTGGCCTCTGCATGGCTGAGGGGCCTCTGAGTACCCAATGGCTGAACATGGTGAGATGAATCCTGGGTAACCTGTTCCCTAGGAGGCCCTTCTTGAGCAAGAGGCCTTGAGACTCTGTTCTCAAATGAAAAGTTTAAACTTTTGCACCCTTGGGTCTACAATGGGTGAGGTCTTGCTGATTTTCAGGATGACCTCAAAGCGTCTGTCTTCTTATTCCTGTACAAAGTTCTTGTCGTCCCCCCTGCACATACGAGGGATGAAACTCAGGACCTCGCACTTGCAAGGCAGGCATGGTTCCACTGAGCTCAGTCCCTGGCCCTTCTTGGCTTCTTTTTAATAGCACTAATCTCCTTAGCAGCCATGTCTCTTTATCTCAACTATACACATGGTTCCATTTGGGCCAAAATTAAAGTTTTTCAGAATTTTCTGCTCTACTTTTTGCCCCCGATTCTTACAATAAATCTGTCTAAAAGAGACCAGTGTACATATGCCACAGCCTGCATGTTGGGCTGCCTTGAAATTTTCTTTGCCAGATCAGTTAGGCCATGGTCTTTCATGTCAATCTCTCTCAAAGTCTTGGGACACAGACAAAATGTACACAGAGTTTTTGCCTGAGTGTAACATGCATAGTCTGTAGTCCAGCTTTCAAAAGAATCCTCATTTCCAGCTGAAACTTCATGACCCTGGCCTTTATTATCCACATTCCTATCAAAATTCTGTTTTTCTGTGTTCTCACCAGTCACCCATCAATCTCTAGTTATAGTATTCATTCATCTCCGAACTCCTCCTGCAAGCCAGTTCCAAAGGCTTCTGACCCGCACAGTCAGGTAGAATCACAGCAGTGATCCACTCCTTGTTTTAGTTTTTGTATTAGTCAGCTCTTCTGTTGCTGAAACACAATACCTGTTGCCCATAGCTCAGAGGAGGGAAGGTTTACTTTGGCTCATGATTTCAGGTGGTTCAGTCCATGGTCAACTGGCTGTGGTGCAAGGGTGTGGGGGAGCAAGGACGTTTAATTCATGATGGCCAGGAAGCAGAGCAGGAGAATAGTGCCAGAGAGGAAGGGGCCAGGAACTGGATGTAGACCCCACTGTCACCTCTGTGACCCACCAGACGTACTCCGAAGTGTGCTTTACTCATACCCTGGTTGGCTCCCAAACCAGTCAAGTTGACGGTCTGCGGTAACCATCACTGGGGTCAACTTGGGTACTGTATGAGTTAAAGAACTTCTTGGGTGGTCATTTCCACCATGAACTCACTTTTCCCAGTATCTGAGAAGAGATGAGACTTGAGAGATTAACTACGATCAGGAACAAGCTGGGGGTCCCCTTGTGTAGTCAACTTGGGCCCCCCAGATTTAAACACCCTCCACAGCCCCTCTATACAGAGTCATAGTCCTCTGCCAGGGCCTTGTCATTATCATAGCTTGGGTTCAGAGAAGAGAGTGTGGAAATTGTGTCTGCCCGAGCCCTGGGCGTGGCCCCAGCCCCAGCTCTGGGGTTCAGAGGCCCCTGTCCATGCTGCTGTGATGTGTCGCCCTGGTCTGTCTTGATGTTGAGAACATGGCTGTGCTGACTTTAAGGTGGGCCCTACTGGTCCTCCTGACCTAGAGTCTCGAGGCTGAGGTGTGTCTGTGTCCATCCCTTTGTGACCTGCCAGCAGGTGTCAGTGGACCTCCTGCATCCCCAGGGATGTGCCCTGTTTCAGTGTGGGGAGGTCCCTGTGGTTCTGCTCTGTCATCCCTGGAGAGAAGCTTGGTGCCCAGATGGGCCCTGGGGAGAGGAGCTGTGCAGTAGAGAAGCTGAAAGGAGCCCTGAAGTGCTTGTGAGTGGTGCCTGTGAGTTGCAGAGATGAACCATTTATACTGCCACTGTTTTGGATCTAATGAGCGAGGGCCCAGAAGTGGGCCCAGCTCAGCTCCGCTGGGCAGGTGGTCCGCAGAGAGCTGACTGCACATGCTGTCTGCGAGGAGGTTGGACAGGCTCGCCAGTGTCCCTGCTGACCATTTTGCTCAGCCTTCCCTGTGTGCGGGGTGCCAGGTTAGAGATGGGACTCGCAGAGCCATGGGCTCTGGGGGGAACTTCCAAGACTCTGTGTCTCACTGGGGCGGTGTTCTGGCTGGCGACGTGGAGGCCGGGCTGGGGCTTGCTTGCCAGGGGCTCACGTCTGATTTGTAGGATTTTATTTGGTGCTATCTTGGATAGCTGTTCATGAGGACTGCATTGAGATCAGCCTTGGGGGAAGAGGAGGTGTCCGCCTGCAACCGTCCCTGAGCAGGGCCCTTCTAGGAAGCCAGCAGGGTGGGCTGTGATGGGAGTGCTGGGCATGAGAGTGCCCCCAGGGGACTTGGTGAAAGCTTTCCTGTCTGTGTTTGTGGGTGGATGTGGAGGTGGGCTGGTGGCCGTCCCAGGGGCTGTGGGCTGTGGGGACAATGGTGGTGCTTCCTGCGAGCCCTTGTGGGTACCCTTG